AACTTTCTCATAATGTTTTAGCAAATATTTAATTTTAGGCATTATTATTTTTATAAACATTTGATGCTGTCTACAGAGTATTGCTTTGTTTTATAAATAATCTTACTTTAATGATCAGTGATCTGAATTTATAAAAATATTAAATATTCCCAAATCATTTATATAACAATAGACTATAGTGAAATTTATTAAACATAAATACTGTATGTGAAAATACCAGTCAAAGCATACATTATTTAAAGTTTAGATCATTCTTATGTTTACATTTGAAACTATATTTATTATTCACCCGTATCTCTGAATTTTGGCCGGTATACTATACAGTACTAGATTTTATTACATTCTACATTAAATACCATAATTAATTAAGCGTTAAAATGCAAATATTAAACAAAAATTGAAACATTATTTAAACATTTTTAAAAAGGTTAGAAATTAAAAATATATTTTGAAACATATGTCCTAAATTCTAATAAAGTGTAACTATACTGTATCAAAATGGTTTATTTAAAAATTTATCACAGCAAAACTATTTATTTAATCGTATTATACCATTTGATACCATAATTTTTAGTTTTGGTTTAGAATAAGTTTTTACGATAATTGACAATAAATACAATTTTGAATAAAGTGAGCAAATGATTCTGGTGTTTGAGCATTAAATATAATGTTTAGATATTACGGTAACTAAAATACATGTTATGTTGAAAACATATTCTTAAAGCACTAATACTTTAGAGACCAAACAATGCCACATTTTATTTATCATTATTCCTATTGATATTTACAGTATTCACACATTTATTCATAACCTCTTCCTATAAAATATATTTAATATAACATTAGGGCCGGCATTGAGCCCACACATTGAATTAACCCCGGCTTCATATGTGCTCCTATACGAGCACCTATATCGTACTATTGATTTCAACATATCTCACATTATAGTCAACATACATAGCAACAAATAAACTATATTTAGGTACAGATAATTTATGCCATCAATAAGATGTAAGCATAAAATTATATTATAAATTCTCAAAAATTCTGATTCTCTTTGAATTATTAATATATTAATAAATGAGAAGTTCATTGAGTGGAGCGTAAGAAATATATATTAAATTAAGTTTTAAATAATTTTCTGTTGAATTGACTAAAGAAAAGATTAGATTGAAGTCCCCAAAGTCCAGGTGCATTAACGTTCACTCTTACACTGATCTTTCGTATGGAATCCCATAACTCACTCCCAGTGAACACAAATACATCTCTCATATTATTTGTGGATTATATGGCACTACAGTTAGGGGGTCTGTCCACCATAGATTACAATTATTGTAAAATGTATTTACAAATATTAATTCATTTATAAAATAAATTTTTTAATATTTAAATATGAAAAATCCATGATTTTTGTGTTTTGAAAAATGGTTTTAAAATTCTTAATTTTGTTAACACTACTTTATACACCAGAAAGCTATAAATTATTACCGTTAAAAATATAAGAAACAGTGTGGGTGTGTGTGTGTCCAATGCTTGACCATTTACTCATGAGCTCTATTTTTAAAATTTAATATTAGATGTTTAAATGTCATAAGCGTTCATGTTTAAACAGACTCCTTTTTAATATAAAATTTATACAAATAAATTCACTGTAGGTTTGCTATAATTTTATTTGAGTAAAGATTTCTATATTTATTAAAATTCATTGGTATTTAAATTTTAATATATGAACCAAATTTGGAATCTTTTAAGTTTGCATTAATTTTTAAATTAGTTTCAACATATTCTCAAAAGAAATTGAAATTACAAACTATACCTATAAAGCTAAT